ACGGGGACTCAACTCGACACTTTGATCTTCAATCTTTATCCTCTGTATCTGGGCAGAAGGCTTCACTAAGACAGACGGTAATCAGGAAAGGCTTTTCAGAGACAACAATAAGGAAAACTCATATTTTAAAACTGTATTGAATTTTCCAGGAAACTAGTCCTGTAAGAGCTAATTTCTTTAGAACAGCGTATGCTCAGGGAGGCCACGAGACTGTTGGGTAAAAGGTTTAATTCACAGAAAATGATCACAATGTTGGTTTAAATATTGAAAATATCATTGCATGTTGAAAAATGATGCTTAACTTTACATGTACATGTTCACATGTTTCCAGTCTTTAAGCTGAGCTAACTAGTTTCGATATGAGAGTGGGCTCAGTCTTCAGAGTGAGCTCCCGGGAACATCAAATTAAGCTTCTTCCCAAAATGTTGCACTATTCCTTTAATACGTGTATGTAGTTGATTTAGTTTGGTTCTTATAAAGCATTTGTTCTTTATTTGATGGGCCGAGTGGGTCAGGATTTTGTTTTTAAATCTTGTTTTCAAACACAAAATCCTTCATGCGTCAGTGAACATTTGCCGTACCCATGAAGAGATGCTGCGAGTGCACAGTCGGGGAGTTTTATCTTATTAAGCCTTCACTCTTCTGGAGGATGAGTCAGTAATAAATACAGTGGAGGGCTGTTTTTGTGACAGCTTGTTAGAGAAGCTGCCAAACAAGCTTTTAGACACATTCTGCAAGGTTCAAAAGTGATTCATGATCAATCAGGTGAGTGGTTTCAACCAAAAGAACTTTTGAGAGGTCCTTTGTTGTGGTTATCCCTTTCACCATTATTCAGTTCTTTTATATTCAGTCTTTGGAAAAAGATCTAATTAACCTCTTAGAAATTTAACTACCATGTGTCTTCTCTTCTAGGTGGGGCACCTAAACACTGGAACTTAAAACACTAGTGGAGGAAAAGCTGAGATCTGCTTTCATTAAATGAAGCGATGTGCCGTTGACCTGACCGTCTCTGGGGGATTTTTGTCCTTCAGAGATGCTGAGCTGGGGGATTTTACCACCGGAGGGAAGGAATGAAGAGTCTGTTTGACAGATTTGAAGACATCAAGGTGATCTAATTTTGCTGCTTTACACTCCTCTCTGAGAAGCTGATGTAGCCGTCCTTGAAAAGATTGAACTCCTCATATGTTAAAACTCCCCATCTGTGCACTCATGACGTCCTTTTCCATTCACTGCGATTATGGACAGTGGATGATACAGGCCGTATTTGGTGTACAAACATATGATTTGATTTTATTCTCATCGCCAAGCAAACATTCATTGGCCTTATAACAAGATAAATTATTGAATGTATTAAAAGATTCAATATTTCAGTTCAATATTTGTTTGAACTTGGTGAGAGTTACAAACCTCTGTGTCAGGGCTAAATCTTTTTACCGTGAACAGGATTGTAGCTATTCACAGCTTTAATTGGATGATAGAGTGGTCGGCAGCTACATTTATCTGATGTGTTTATTTTTGGACCTAAGCAGAGAGCGTTTTACACTCTGATTAACTTTCTTCATGGAAGCAGGTTAGTCAGAATAGAAAAGGAACCTGATGTTACTCTGCTTGTTCATCTGCAGTTTTTATCCTGTGTTTTCTTGTTCAGTGAGATAAGACTAGTCTGCTGATGGTTTGAACACGTGAATTAAAGTCAGCTTCAGTGTCTGAGGTGGATTTGTGAAGGACAGTTACATTAACAACAAATGAAAGCCCTCCATTCTGCATCTGAGATCTCGAATCTCTTTCCCCTTTTTTCTTATGAAGCTCTCAGATTTTTGCTCTCAGGTCCCAAACTCTTTTAGCACTTTGCCCAGGCGGAGCCACCTGACAGCTGTGTGGTAGCCTATGTCACCATGCTCCTCCAAAACTGCAAACTGTGATTCAGCGATCTTTTCCTGATGAAGTTAACTATTTTAGTTACAACAAGAGCAACATGGTTAATTTTTGGCACTGACTCACACAGCACCTGCCTGTGAAAATACGAAATACGAAAATACCACTTTTGGGTTCATTCCACTTAGTAGCAACATTTTTTCCTGACAGATTTGAACAGCCATCTTTTGTAACACCTGCCAGTTTGCCCATTTCAGCCGAAGCGTTTCCAAGCATGCACTTACTTCTGTGAAGGAATCACTCCTTGATGTAGGGCCTTTCATTGAGCACATTGCTTCCAGCTCCTGCTTCGTTTCAAACTTTCATTATCCCGTGTGCAAAGATATGTAAGTGGGATGTGTCGTAGTAAAGCCAAAGAAGTCAGAATTGTCCATTTTGTTTTCCAGTTGAAGCTCCAGATTTCCTCCATTGTCACTGATCTGTTTTATTACTCTTCACCATGGAAGGTGAAGAGTAATAAAATCAAAGTCCACCAAAGGCTATTTGATAAACTCCCCCATTAGAAAATGGTTTACTGTATTTTGTGTGATTGTGAAAATCACAAAGCTGGTAGAGGTAAAGCGCACTTTCTTCTTTTTCATATGAGCTGACATCTTCCGGGAATTGCAATCTCACATCCTTTTCATAAACATCAGGTCCAAGACATTTACAGTGAAGCTTACACACACATGTTATATAAATCTTTAAAAAATATCAGTCAAACAAAAGCAACAACTGAATTGTGATTTCCCACAACTGCCAAAAAACAGTTTTCTGATGGGGAGTTTATCAAAGAGTGTTTGTTGGTTTGATGTATACCCATTTATGTTTGAATCCTAATTTCACACACAGGTCAGTGTGGGGGACACACAGATGTGGCTCGCAAGAAATAGAATTTAATCTAAGGGGACGAAAAACCTAAACCACACCAGGAAAAGAATCACCTCTCTGCAAATATGTAGTCACATTCTAACAGTAACATCTACCAGTGTTTCTAAACTTCAAAGACTTCACCTCTGTCTTGTCTTCACTCATCAACTGCTTGTTTATCTTCCGCCTGCTTCCCGTCCTCTGCACCCTCCTTATCTCTTTGGCCTATTATTACTTGTTTAAAACTCTGGTTTCCTGCAATCCTTCATCTCTGAGGAATCCTTGAGATACAGTCTAAATTTATCCTCTGTTTTCCCAGAAAGTCCTGAGCTCTCCATTGATGCCAAAGTGCCAGGGAAAGCCTCTGAGTCCCTGGCATGGAAAATTAAAGAGTGAGGTAAACAAATGCGTGGAAGCACTTTGCAACAGGAAATCTTTTTAAAGACAAAATTAAACACATTTTCAGGTTGCAGGTATATTTTGTTGTATTCAGTGGTCAATGTATTATGAATGCTAAGTTTTTATAGAACTGTTACTTTATTTAAAGATACAAAGTTATAAAAGGAAGCAGTAAAACAAGTTAATAAGGCATTAGTTCTGCAGTTGTAACTATTAGGAAGTTGGTAATAAGACTCAATGGGATTTTACAAAATCTAAAAACAATACTTATTCAAGATTTCTAAAGCTTTAGTAAATTATATCTTTGTTCTATAGTTTAATACTCGCAAGCACTAAAAAAACCTTTGGTTTCACAGCACATGGCTTCATGACAAAGATAGACAAAAACTGTACAAGTTATTCTGCACGTGACTTTGTTTCCTCACACATAGATCCAAACAGTAGAAGAACAGAAGATATTTTATCATCCTTCCTTCCAAACAATATATCTGATCCTCTTATGAGCAACAGCTCAGGCTGACAAATGACCCGCAATACAGGATGGACACATGAAGACGGTTGCATAATACCAGCAGACCTGCCTCCACGTGAGGGAGGCTTACTCACTGTAACCCACAGTAAACCCTCGCAGGTATAGGTTACTCACTGTCATTTCATCATCATCATCTGATATTTCATTTTCTCTGTGATTTGATTTGTGTCCAAAGGGTTATTCATCTGAGGAATGTCACGAAAAAGATTATCATGACCAGCAGGAATCGCACTGCAGCAGAAACAAGGCAGAAAAATACAATAAAAATAGTAAACAGGAGCAAAGGCTTCAGGGATGTGCTTCGTGCGCAGTTTCATATATCTGTGAGGAGGACATTCAATCTAACGATTTTGCCTTAATGTTCCTATAAATCAACACCAACCGATAATTTTAGGCCCCCTCTTCCTCCTGTACTTGACACTTTTCTCCAGGCTTCTGGGAGACTATTATACAACTTCATTCAAGTCATTACACCTTTATTGGCCCGAATGCATTCTGCACCATTTGCGGTTTATGTAGCTGAGAGCGTTTATTAGACAATCCCATCATTCAGCAGGTGAAGTGCTGCTTTGCGCAGAGTTGGCAACAACATTTGTGCAAATGTTGCTTTACAAACAAATAATACTACAGCTGCTCCTGCACTGCCACATAGACCAATAAAGTAGCACTTGCCTTACTGTGCTGCTGTTTCTCTGCAATTTACCTTCATCACAAATTTCAGATATCTTGAACACACAAATTCAACCTGAGAAAGAAGGTTTGGGCTTGTGTCAAAGCGCAGCATCACTGATAAAAATCAGGACATATAATTAAAGCCTCCAGAAGAGCTACTTAATCGACCGTGTGTTGAATATGTTATCTCAAAAAGTTTTAAATATTTTTAGTTTACAACGGCCTAAATGTTAATACCCATAATTTTATCCGTATAGTTTAAAAACTATTATTTATTGTACTTATTTAATTTCTGCATCATTTCGTAAATTGCACAGTAGGTTCTTTTATGTTTCTTGAATTGTTATATTTTAACGTCACTTGTATTTATTTTAATAATTATAACTTATATGACTTATACTATAGCCTGTTTTCTGATATAAACATGTATTTTTTGATACTATAAAAAAAACACATATGTAAGCAATCGGATGCATTGTGCTGCTGATGAATCTTGATTATGTGTGTGTGTGTGTGTGTGTGTGTGTGTGTGCGCGCGCGCGCGCGCGCGCGCGCGGCAGTCGAGCGCTGTTAGGAGGAGTCTGTGTCGGAGGGGGGCGGTGTGTGCCGAGCCGCTCCGTGAGCTCACTGGCTGCTCTGTCTCTAATGTGTGAGAGTCCTCTTAGAGGTCTGGCCACCGCGACCGACGTTTGGTCATTAGGTGACTGAAGCTCGCAGTGTGCGGACACTCCAGCACCGCCTTCAGTCCGACCCCGGGACCGGGAGAAGTCAGACAGAGGAGACTTTACGCACAGCTCTGCTGAGAAGATGGAATGCATTGAAAGGACTCCGACTCTGTGAAAGTTTGGGTTTTTCTCGTGGAAAAGCAAATTACAGACAATTAATCGGAATGCAGTCACGCTTCACATTCGCCTTCTTTTGAGGTGCAGCAGAGGATGACACCTGCACCACACTTGGCATCTTTGAATAGTAGGTCAAAGCTTCTGCGAGAGTGACTTTCTGCCTCTCATTCTGCACTCACATCACAGTCCCGCTCGCTCTGGTCCTTGGTTATTTTCTGCAGCTGCAGAATCAGTGCATGTGTTGCGCTCCTATAGCCTATGTCTTCATCTTTGCACCGTCGCGGACTGCGGCAGGAACGCACAAGCGGGCAATCATCTCGTACCTGGACTGCGCGTAAACGCAGGTGAGCTGCTCTGAGGACAGTCATGTACATTTCTGGTTCTGCTGTCACATTTTTCATCTCTTTGAACCAAAGAGAAGGTTTAAAGCAAGGAATAGCCAGATGTAGCTCTGTAAACAGCCTGAAGTGCATGCTGTGCTCACTGTGCTATATTCACCATGTTGGTTCAAGCATTTGCTGATTAAGAGAGGAATCCCTTTAATAGTTTAAAATCCAGGAATCTGGAGGGAGATTAAATTAGACTGGTGGTTAACCCCTTATAGACCAGTTTATCCTGTGAGCTTTTTGCCCTAAAGGGTTGAAACAAATGGTGTTAATCCACATTGACTAAATATGTTAAACGTTAAATAAGCGTTGCACCAGCAGTTTCAATTAGCTCCCCAGAGATGTTTAGTCTCAGTGAATTTTTATCCCAAAATGGTTTAATTACTGCAAAAAATCATGATGTTTACCCAACATTTCCAGGATGTTGGAGGCGCTTTTGGGATCTCCTCTGAAATTCAATGCACAGTTGAGTCCTTTTTTGGCTGCACAAGATGAGTTTAAAGAGGTTACAGTCAGCCACCGGGTCATTTGGCAGTAGATGATGTGTTTGTGGGATTAGTTGGCTTTGTTTACGTTCGCTCTACTTTGCATTAGATTAAACTCTTTCCTTTTTTTTCCTCTGTCATTCAGCACTCTCTGACATGCCTGCACTACTCACCTCTTCATGAGATCACACCTCCTGGATATTTAGAATAAAAGAAAAGGAAAAACTTCCTCCTCATCACCAGTGAGGCAGTATAATCTGTGAAGCACTGACTGACTCACCATGGGCACCGTACTATCGTTATCACCCAGCTCTCGCAAATCAGGCTACTATGACAACCGTCCCGGCTCTCTCAGCCACTACCCGAGCCTCAGCAGCCGCTCCCTCAACAGCCAAAAAGACCGCGGGCTAAAGAGGGGCCAGTCCATCTTCCTCCCAGCACTCACATGGAAGAGACTTGTGGCCTCTACAAAGAAGAAGGGCAACTCAAAGAAAGGCTCTGGTGGCCCGGTGGCCCTCGGGGATCCTCTGAATAACAACAACAACATTAACATCTACCAGAAGGATCCCGTGCTGCACCTCAACCGTGAGAATGTGAAGAAGTCGCTGTCATGTGCCAACCTGTCCAGCTACGAGGGCCCAGCCGGTCTGGGTCTGGGGCTCGGCTACGGACTGGGGATGGGTCAGGGACATGGATATGGCTACACCAAATCCCAGCAGCTTTCCTCTGTGAAAAAAGTCCCCCAGGGCACGGTGACCTCGTCTCCGAAGCGCGTCATCGTCCAGGCCTCCACCAGCGAGCTCCTCCGCTGTTTGGGGGAGTTCCTGTGCTGTCGCTGCTACCGCCTGAAGCATCTGTCTCCGGCCGATCCGGTGCTCTGGCTGCGGGCTGTGGACCGCTCGCTGCTGCTGCAGGGCTGGCAGGACCAGGCCTTCGTTACTCCGGCCAACGTGGTCTTCGTCTACATGCTGTGCCGAGACGTAGTGGATGGTGATCTAGTGGCGTCGGAGCACGAGCTGCAGGCCATCCTGCTCACCTGCCTCTACCTGTCCTACTCCTACATGGGCAATGAGATCTCATACCCTCTTAAGCCCTTCCTGGTAGAGGCGGGCAAGGAGGCCTTCTGGGACCGCTGCCTCGCCATCATCGACGCCACAAGCTCCAAGATGCTGCGCATCAATGCAGACCCGCACTTTTTCACACAAGTATTTGCTGAACTCAAGAGCGAAGGAGGCTGCGGCCCTCAGGATTATAGCCGGGTGCTTGATCGGTGAGCACCCATCCTCGCTGACCACATGCCTTTGTGTACACTCATGCACTCGTACACACACACACACACACACACATAATTGTCATGCAGATTGCTCCACCCCTTTTTCTTCTATGAAGGCCTATCTTAAAAGAATTACACAGAAGTATTGAATCATTGCATTTGTGCTTGTTGCCATTGTCCCATCCGTCCACAGATAACTGGTTGAGTGGGGCTTACAGCTGTTTGTGAGTTTACTTTAACCATTTGGTCCACCTGCTCCCTTCTGTGTCTGGTCCCAGTCGTCCCAGCTACTCCTCTGTATCTGCACAGCCTCACCTTAACATTATCAATCTGTATGCACAAGGCAAGGAGATGCCATCACCTTACGCAAAGCACGTTTTTTTTTCCAATAGTGACAGAAGAGAAAATAGGGCTCAGACAACATAGTCCACATGAAAATTTCATGGATAATACAAAGCAACATCTTGACATCCTCCGCCGTCTCAAGTGCCCGCGGTTCAGACTGACGGGAACAGCTGAGACGTCCATGTTTGCTCAGTAAAACAAAACGAACAGGCAGTGTGTTTTTGTGGAGCCTTTTGAGGGAACACTTGCTGTTTGTTTTTCCCTTCACTCACTCAAACCTGCCAGCGGCTCTTCCGTGTGTTAAAGTCTCATTTAACCCTGAGGAGGAAGCCGAACATGCATTTACCGTGGGCATGTTTGGTGCGAGCGCATGCATGGCTGTGCGCGCAGGCATCGTGCGCTGGACGGCAGCCAAGGTCATCAGCTGTTTACCCCATCCTTTGTTCCCTGCATCTTGTTGACAGGGCACCCACAGCCGTGGTATTAATGAGATTAGCTGATTACTGCTGCCCCTCCCCTACGTCAACCTCTCCCCCTTCTTGTCCGGTCGGCAGCCCTGCAGACCTTCAGTGGCTAATCCAGCCCAGGCAGGACTGGGCAGGACTATAGACACACACACATTAAAATGCTTTGCTGTGTGTGCTTTATTCTCCGTGCTGCGTGAATGTGTGACACACGTGTGCAGCTTGGGGTCCAAGGTGGAGGCAGGAAATCTTTCCAGAGGCCATCCAGGCAGAAATGACAGACGAAAGCCGTTTGTTATTGCTGCTTCTGAATTTGTCCCACTTTCTCATCCCTCACCTGCGCATCCTCATCTGCCATCAACAGGCTCTCAGGAACTGGGAGTTCATTTCTCTCATGTTCCTCCCTCCGCTCGACTATTCCCTTGAATGAAGCCATTGGCATTTGTGCTTCAGTGGCTTTAATCCCTGGTCCTCGTGTGTTTTACTGTGCATGTCAGTGATGGGTCACAGATGAGCTCCAAGTTCATCGTTTTTAGATTTTAAGGGCTTATCAACTGCATTTGAACCACTGTAGTCATAAGAAGATTTGGTTCTACAGTAATTTATATTTGGTGGCTTTTTATTTTTTTCTGGGAGCTCTCTCTTCTTTCACATGCATGCAGGGGAAGCCAGAGGAAGGGAGAGCAGCTGCAAGACCCAGCTGAGAACAGAGCAGGCATCAGCGGCAGCAGACGTGATATTTATTAAGTCAGACACAGCATGGAAGGACGAGCTGGGGTGGAAGTGGGTTGCAAAGTGACTTGCCCTGTATGAGATAGCAAGTTGGCTCTGTAGAAGGGTATCGGCTGAGCAATCAGCTGATCTGGGCAGGCGTCAAAATCAGCTAATCTGCCAAGATTGCGGCTGAGCTTGACTTCATGGCCACCGTGAACTAGAGCTACATCTTGTAATGCTGACAGCACAATAAAAGCTCGATTAAAGCCCAAATGTTCAAATTTTCAGAAAAACGCTAGACGTATGGATTCTTTTAGATTTTTTAATCAAGGTTGATAAACTCACATATTTAAAGGGTTTGGGGGAGAAAAATGAAGAGGCTTCCCAACTTATTTTGGGCTTATGCTCCTTTAAAAACTAAATGTGTTTCTGTGACTCATCACTGATGCATATGTTGTCTAATTGTAAAACTTGTTTTTAAAAGAAAAATGTAAGTCATTACATTTTTCTTTTAAAGAAGGCAAATGTTTGTGGAAAAAAAGATATCTTTTTGTTCTCCTCCTCTTTTAATCACCTCAAGATCCTTCAGAGTCTTTCCTGTGACCCTTATTTTGGGTTCTTGAGGGGGTTTATGATGAATTTGAACCAAGAAGCTGTTTAAAACATAAAAATTTCCTATTGTGTGAAGTGGAAATGCCTTAATATTATTGTAGCAGGGCATCTGGAGGTTTTGGTGCTCCACCTCCCTTCTCCACGTGGCAATCACTTTGGTGTGATGCTTCGCTATATTCTCGGCCACAAGGTCGTACGATACACGAGCATCTTCTAATCCTGCAGCCCAATCAAACAGATAGAGGGAACCCAGGATGAAAACATGGAGAAATAAGCAAACAATTCCCCTCGAGTGAAGCCTTCAAGCCCAGCTCTGACAAAGTGAAGGCTGCCCCACCGCCTACTCCAGCTCATCCAAGCTTACTGGAGTTGAGCCTCCCTGCTCTCCTGAGGGGTCTCGCATGAGCTCACGCCAGCCTGAGAGGAGCGACTGTGGTGAGTCACGCTCGGAGAGTCGAGTAGTGAAACATCGCTTTCTCTACAGCATTGACCAGCAGCCATTTTGGACTTGTAGGTCAGCGCAGCTCTCTCTGCGGCCTGGTTTCGTCTCTAACAAGGACACTTGTGTCTTAACTCACCCCCTCCTGCCTCTCCCCTCCCTACACACACTCAGCTGTTGTTCCCTGCCTGTTTCATTAGATTTGACACCCCGCACCCGCCAGCCATTGTCAGGACGAGGAAGGGCAGAATGGGCCAGTTTGTTGGCACCGGCTTGGTTTGTGTTTGCGTGTGCATGCAGGTCAAAGTTAAGGGCAACATCTGCTTCCACCATGCAGCTCGTGCAGACCTGGGTGATAATTAAATCATCTCATTGACATGAGCAAGAAATGAGGAGTAGAGGAGCACATCGCGACCCTTTTCTTTTAATGAAAAAGGCCTTTTCCTTACACGTGGCCTATTCTTCACTCTCTGTAGCAGCACAGACACAGCACAGAACCACGATTATATCAGCCTGATCGTTAGAATTTGACCCTAAACAAAAAGGCAACACCTCCCCCGCCCCTTTTTTCAGCACATCTGTCCAATCAGTCGGCAGCTGGACTGTATAGCTGTTCCTTAACTAACTCGCTTTTTAGCTGGAACTGTAATTCTGTTTTATCCAATCAAAACCCCCCGATATGCGTCCCGAGCGGATTCTTGCTTCTGACTGACGGCGGACACACGATGCCTGTGATTTAACCGTGATAAAACACGACATTTAGTGCAGTTTGGACCTCGCTCTGTAGATGGGACCTCCGTCTGGGACTTTGGCAACTGAGAGTTGCAGAATATTTCAGGTGGCTCTTTGCAGGAGGCTTTGGCTGTTTGTGAACAATGTTACAAAAGACTTAAAAGATAAGTCTGGTATTGTTCTTTATTTTTCTTACTGTCAACAAGCATCAGACTGGGTTTTTACGTTTTCAGACTTGTCTGCAAGCTGGTTCTGACTGAAGACGGGATGTGAATGTATACTTTTATTTTATGAAAAAGGGGTGGGCACTTTAGTTTATAGAAAACATCAATGACACAGGAGGAAATTAGTTGGGGAATTTACAGCTGCAGGGTTCGAGTTAGAAAAACTACAGTGCCTATGTTCATTAAATTAAGCAGCATGTGTTTGTGTTTAAGCTGCTGCGTATCAATAATTATTTGATCTGTTGACACTAAGAAATCTGGAAAGTACATCACTGCTTATCCTTTAAGCTGCCACAGCTCTGTGAGCTGTGTTATTTCAGTGCTGCTGTAGGTTGGTGTGTCATTTCAATGGCACGCCTTAGACTGATGATGTAAATACCAGGATGTGTAACAAAAAGAGCTGTTAAGAATGAAAAAATGAACAAAAACAAATAGTGTTGCTGTGTAGTAGCATGCATGCCAGCCAGGTAGTTTAGATATTTTTCTTTCTTTTTTTTTTAACTTCTGCTTTTGTTGGATATGTGTGATGTTTTAAATGAATTTCTATGGTAATTTAAAACTGGATCTCATTGGTTACAGGAAACACGATGTCGTCAGTATTAAAGTCTCTCATGGCTGCAGGTGTAACGATCAACATTATGCTCTGCTCATGTTCAGAAACACTAGAGACATTTAACGAAACAGAAAAGCTCGTTTTTCGAAAGTCCTGAAAGATCAAAGCGTGTCACGTGACTCACTCTCACACCAGGCTTCATTTGTCACTTCGCTAAGTTAGATGTGGTCATCTGGAGTCTTTTTTAAAACCCGAGCTCGCCCCTGTCTTGTTGCTAAATTCGTAAAGAACTGATCGAGTTAGAGGCTTTTCTCATCGATGCACCAGCTGGTGACACAAAGGCGTCCATTGTGCGTGCAGCAGTCGTCGCAGGCGGCTCCGGCTCGGCCTGCGTCCTCTGATGCAAAACAACACGTTAAAATTTCACCACAACTTCACTTTATTTCTGCGTCTTTTCCTGTGCCAGGAGTGGACAGATGTTAGTCCAGAGATAAATATGTGACTGTCCAGTCCATTTCCTCCTCCACCGCTGCTGCTGCTCCTGAGTTTCCATGGTTACTTTCCTCAGACATCTTTTATAACTGTCGCACCGAGATGAAGCAGCACCTCGAGCGACTTTTGTAAAGCCACTCAAGTGTGCGTCTCTCTAAAAGTGAAAATACTGTTGATGGGGAAAACTTGAAGAAAAATAAATGTGACTGTTTCATTTTTTTTTCTTTTTTTTGTTGTTTATTTCCTTTTTCATGATGATGACGATGATGATGTTTGCTATATTGATTATTTAATAAAGTATTGAGCTGAAATCCAAACCTGCTGCTTCCCATTTTCCACTTAAATAAACTGCCTTTGTCCTCCACACAGCACATGATGATATATTCTCCGCATTCAATCCAGCTAACTTAAGGCTGGCTGTAAATTCATGTGGGACATAAGAAAAAAACTTAATGCACAAACACACAATGGCGCCGCGCTGCAGATGGCCTTTTGGCTTCCTGTCAGTGAGGGCTGGGCTCCATCTGAGCCTTTCTCTGCACTCAGTTGCCACCCTTTCCTCTGTTACCACAGGTGGAATTGCTGTGATGTGAAGCTGCCTCTGCTCTCCTCCGAGTGCGATGAGAAGATTTTTATACGACATGAAAGAACAAAGTTGGTGCTGCAGAGCTGAGACGGCTTTGTTCTGCAAGCGTACACGAGTTTAAAATGAGAAACGCAGAGAGGAAAGCAGGTTTTGTGTTGCTGATTTAGTAGCTGTGGTCAGCAGAGCGTCTGCCTCGGGCTGCCTTCACACACACACACACACACACACACACACACACACACACACACACACACACACACACACACACACACACACACACACACACACCGATATCTCTACATCTTAGCTGCTTCTCTTCCCACAACTTTGCATTTTTCTAAAAATTTTTCTTAAAATTTTGATTCAGAAACTACAACATTTATTTCTTGTTATGTTTACATTACTTTAAAAGAAAAGGACTAAGAGTTTAGTTGCCAAACCTTTGGCAGTCGCAGGTCAATAGGGAAAAATGCACGTTCCCTCAATAGCTGGTGAGCGGATTGTTGTTTCTTGGTGATGGTTGCTGCACAAAAAACCCCTGTGTGATTGTTTTGGTTGCTCGAAGAATGCTTCCATCGCCTGGAGTTTGCAGCGAAGACTACCAAGTGATAGTGAAACTTAAAACAGTGCGATTAAGATCAGAAACGGTAAGACTCGTGTTGTTCTCTGAGGCTCGCTGGACATGGGAGCTCAGTCTTTAATGTATTCTACAGATGTGTGGTGAAGGATTCCTCTGCTTCTGCATCACTGTGTGGCATGGCAGAAAATAAGTCTTTGCTGACGATCGGTCCAACACCACCACCATCAACTCCAGCAGATGCAGGAAAAGTGTCTTCTGCATCTTGAAAGACCTTACTCACCCAGCACACACATTGTTTGTTTCACTTCCCTCAGGCAGGAGGCCGTGGAGCATCAACAGCAGGACCCCCAGACTGAGGAGGACCTTCTTCCCTGAGGCTGTAAGACTGCTGACCTCGGGTGGTGCTCTGTAGTCTGCTGCTACAAGCTAAAGATGACAGGCATGAGAAACCACTTGAGTCTTCACACTAGTCACGGCACTTTCTTTGAAACTTGTAAACTGTCACACTGTCATTTTATTATTGATAGTTAATTCACGTGGCTATGATGCTTCTTTGGTCCCAAATAAAAGCCAAGAAGGTTAGATTAGATTAGATTAGATTAGATAGAACTTTATTAATCCCTCGGGTGGGTTCCTCTGGGAAATTCGATTTCCAAAAAAGCACAGCACCGACAGAAGTTACAGAGTTACAGAATATTATATATATATATATACACACACACACACACACACACACACACATATATATAAATACAGAGACAATATAAATAAAATATACGAAGGGGATAAATAGAATTTAAAATATAATAGAAATTTATGCAAAAATGAGGACTGAAAACAAATGTGGGAACATGCCATGTTCTGTGAATGCACATGTTGGAATGACAATAAAACCCCCTGAATACAGCTTTTAAGGCCTTTACACACTGGAAGCGTCCGTGTGATTATTTTGTACAATAAAACATTTTTCAGACTCACCAATCCTAAATGCAACCCTCCACACCGACCAACTAATTTCCTTGGATGAGTTTATTTAGTTATTTTTTCAAACCAATTTTTCAGATCCGAATAAATAGATCTGACCAGTCAGACCACAGCATTTGGCAACAATACACCCATAGCTCAAAACACGCACTGGTACTGAACATACAATGATATGAAAATAGTGAAATAACACTAGTTTATGTCAAACGCTCGGTGTAATGGCCTTTTCTTTGATCTCCTCACTGTGTGACTGATTAGACAAGCTGGCATCTCTCATGCAAACTACAGGCAATCGGGTAGCGACTGGAGAGGTTTCTGGCACAGCACCGTACCTTGTGACTAATTTCACCTAGCAACTGCCGGAAACCACTCCCCAACCTGTTGGTAGAACACACATTTCTCCATAGCAACGGGTGGTAACCAAGGAGTTGCAGACCAGACTCTAAGCCTTTGTGACTGAGGTCTTTCCTTTGCTATTCCTTTTACAGTGAGTCCAAACGTCTGCCATGAAAATAAAACCCTACATTTTTTTACTTTAAAGCTTTTAAATGTCCCAGAGGAGACGTTTGCTAACAGGTGGCTAAATGAGCGTGGCACCGTTATGGCTCGCTCATTAGCAGATACTTTATTGTGTGTTTAATCCACGTTCTTACTTTTTACCAAAGCTAGAAATGGTTAAGTGCTTCTTAACAAACACATGGGTTTTCCTTTTAAATGCATATATTTAGCTTTTGTCATGTAACAGCTGTTCTCCATCTAACTATGACTGAGAAATGAGTTTACGGTGAAAGAAGCTTACTTGGCGCGGCACTATGTCACCCTGTCGATGATACTAGAAAATGATTATTTAAATGCCATTTATTATCTCTTCACAATGCGAGGGTGAGAGGGCAGTCGGGGAAAACTACACAGCGGTGGTCAGTGGCCGGCACGGGGGACCCCTCATAGGGCAAAGAGGTGAGGGAGGTGAGGCCTGGGTGCTTTAAAAAGAAAAAAAGGAAGAAGACAGATGAGACGAGATGGAGAGGATTCGCTGCAGATGGCTACCGCGGCCTGACCGAGTCCTTTCCAGCTTTCTCCTGTCCTCGGAGGACACAAATCACCAGCTCTCTGCCTCCCGGTGTCACTCTTCTATAGAGCCTCTGAGCTCCCTGTGGCTTTTCAAAGCCTCGGCTGCTGTTCACTGACTTTTATCGGTCCTCTGGGAACCAACATGCACCAAAACCCTGCTGCCATTCTTCCCATAGATGGTCTCCAAAGACATTATCTGTCTGAGCTGTGCTGCACTTTTCTGCCTCAGTCCCTGCTTTAAGTACATATTTAAAAAAGAAAACATGTTCAGGTGTTAATACGAAGAGCAAAACAGTTGCTTTCCAAACTGTATATTCAGCATATTCAGCTATTGGCAAGCAAGGGCAAGGAGCATATTACTGGGTAATTAGGTCACATTAGTGTGTGGTGGTCATAATAATAAAACCCTGTTTACAAGAACAAGCATATCCTCTGTGGCGGCTATATCAGTTATGTCTACTCTACACTAATGTTAGACACAGGGGTCATTTCCAACGCTCAATGCCGTGTTCACGTCATAGTGTAATTACCAATTTACCACTTATAAACAGCACTGGCGTCAACACTAATTAATACTGAATGGGGAGGCTGTTTGTTTAGTGTTTAAATAAGCCAACTCACTCATTATTTCCTGCTAATGGTCAAATGGACAAAATGACATGAAACAGTTCTGGTGCACATGTAGGACTAGGACTAACTGGCACTAGATTGCAGTACGAGAACAGAACATCCTTTATTTCCAAGCCTTCTGCACATAACATGAACTACCGAGGGACATCTTTTGCCCTTGACTGTTAGCTTTAGAGTAGCTATCCGTATATAAGGCAGCTTGCTTTGAGTGGGCACTCAAAGTGCTTTTTACTCAAAGCCTCATTCACCCAATTACACACACATTCATATACTTTTTTGTATACCTAACTGCCTCGTCTAAGGATGCAATCACAGGCGACTTGAGGTTCATTATCTTGCCCAAGGATACGTCGACATGTAAACTGGAGTAGTTAGAGAATCATTCCACCGACCTTTCCCTGTACCTTCTGAGCCACAGCCACCCTAACTCAATCAATGCAAGCCTGTGATCCGCTCTCACTGGGAATTCCTCAATCATGGGAAATAACTGTAATCTCAAATCCCACTGGATTCCTACTGTAGAATGGAAATTCTTTTGTGTCCATTAAAATGATCAGAGTGGCTGTTCTTCTAGGTGTTGCAATAAAGTTTGAAGTCCAGACATCCGTAAAGAAATAGGATATATGAGGTTTAGAGGCAGGAATAGAAATTGGCAGTAAGTGTTCTGACTTAAATAAACAAAACAACCCCCCAGAACAGCGCTGCTATTATTTTGGATGAATAAAGATGGAAAAGGAAATAGCAGTGACATTTGGAGGTTAGCAAAGCGGAGCTAGTTGATGTAAAATCACCGTGTGGCATGCTACAGCGCTACGGTTAAGCTAATATAAACACATTAGCAGACCTAGAATGGCTAAACTGCTTTCAGTGCAAGGTCCATGGTGCAACCAAGAGAACATCTGCAATGACCCCATCCACAAGACGAGGTTAGTCATTAATGCTACAGTCACAACAGCAGTCAGAGCCAAAATTATTGCGACTTTGTGCAACAAATTCCATCGTATTTGCACTGTTGGTGACTTCTAGAATATTTTTTAACTGGATTAGATGACAAATAAGACTGACTGTGTGGTAGTATGTGTCCAAAAAGTATGTACTTCACTTCTGTTAAATAAAACTTTTGTCCTCTGGTAAAATTCTGAGGCTAGACCTTACTTGGAGCCAGTTTGATGCAGCTTGTTGGCTTATGTCCCAGAGCGGGATGAAGCACTTATCCAGTAAAATTCTAGTCTGTTACTTTGGATTCCACTTTTATCCAAACACGGCACCTTCGAAACCAGAGGGTGACATCATGGTTGCCATGTCCGTATTTTATATACAGTATGTGAACTGCCTTTATACTGCATATTATCAACAAGCACACCACTTAAAGTTGCTTTGTCTGCTTTGACCACGTATTTTTCAGTTTGAGACATGTCAGTCTCAATACAAAGAGTACTAAAAATAAAGCTTTGCACTGCAGACCTGACCCTGTCTGGTGATGTTCAACACGAACACCTGCTTCTTCACTATCGATGCACCATTCAAGAAAGTCAGTGTAAGAAAAAAAAGCAACAGTTTAAGAAGAAGATTTTCTTCATATTGAACCTTTGCAAGCTACCCAAACAACATAAAATGTGACTCTTTTTCCCTGTGTTTGGTCGCTGTGGTTTATCAAACGTTTCCTGATTAGTAAGCATTTGGGCTGATGGCATACTGGCTCAGAGCGAGCCAAAGTAAAAACCAATCTCCCCCCTCATGTTACTGTAATCTGCAGCATGTGACCTCCTCTGACGGAGGGATGCTGGAAAACCTGCAGGGCTCACCAAACCAGTGGCTGCTCTGCACTGAGAGGATTTAAGGGGAAAAAACACAGCAGCTCTGGGACACGTTATATTCCCACTGGTAAATCCTCTCCAACTCATTACCAAATCCTCACTGCAGGGCTGCTAAGCTCTAAAGAGAGACAGACCAGGTGCCAGTCTTTTTGTAATGGAATTGCACGGCGGTTTAAGTGATTGCATCAACAATTGCCACCCCTGATAAATTAGATTAGACGTAGAAGAATCCTGTTTGCACACTGTTGCTGTAAGAAACCGAGAAACTTCATGATAATCCAAAGCAAACATCAGATGAAACGCTGTTAGCGTCGATCTACATTCTAACCACATGGCTGATTGCAGTATTGCATTTGTGCCAGCGAGATTGGGTTTTATTCACAGCGAGGAGAGATGTGATTGGAGCTGTCAGAAAGGAAAATGACTGCAAAAATGATGCCGAAGAAAAGCTTGGCAGCAGCAGCTGTGACTGTGATGGGGAAACAATTGGGAAAATAACTGTTGCATTTGTGCTAATGAAAAAGATGCCATTAAGCTAAACCCATCAAAAAGCAGGGGAAGCACTATGAATTTCAACTCTGCTTTTGTGAAAAAGATGTTGATTTGGTGAGGCAAAAATATGATCTGATAATTAACTGTTCATCTGTTCTGAAAACGTGTTTGCATGGATCGAAGATGCACGCGAAACACACTTAATAATCGGAGATGGAGAGGCTTCAAATGCTGCTCTAACACGTAATTGATAAATCACTGCTTTTACATGAATGATTAAAGGATTACACACAAACAAATGCAGCATATAATCTCTGTTTTCTAACATACAGCCGCCTCCAGCGAGTGATTGGTGGAGCTGTAACTGGGAGAAGAGCTGTGGTTTTCATCCAAGGGAGCGACAGCAGATTAACACAGAAACTCTGGAGGCCTTCGTTTGGCGCCGAAACACAGAGCTTTCACAGTAACACGCATGAGTCTGAGGCTCACGCTGAGGCGCTGCTCGTGGCATCTTGGTAAACAAATCTCGGTCAGTTGCCTGATCTTCCCTCTGCAGCTGTAGAGACCTTGGGATTCTCTCATTTTCTGAGACTCAAAGTCGAAATTAGATTTACAATGAACTTTGTTTTGCTACTAAATGCAATTTGCTGTGAAAATAGCAGCATGAGGGCAGAGGGCTGAGGTGTGCCGACGGCCGTGATTTCTGCTACATGCTTACTTTAATTTTTCTTTGATTATTGAGATCTCAATATAACGAGACGCGAAAGAAGAAGCTGCTGACTTCGGTCACCTAGTTAATAAAACCTGAGGGTCAAAAGTTCACAAGAGGTTCAGAGAAGAAACCAAAAAGACTCACTCATCACTCATTGAAGTGCTAAACACATTAATAAATAAATAATAATGATCCAGTGAAGTAATGTAGTATAATAGTTACTTTTACTTTGGGCATTTTAAGCATATTTTGATGCTAAACTTTTCTTACGTAGGATAATGACTTTTATTTAACAACCTAAGTGATTCTTTCACTACTTTTCATGTAATCTGTATTATGGCACATGAATGTGAAAATCATGCCTTGTGTTTTGTACAATATTTATTTGATTTGTTTTTATTTATTCCACTGAGAAATGGGCACTGAGCAAAACCACCTCGTAATAAAACTACACAAAAAGTTGCACCGTCACGAAGGTGTGTTGCTTCAGATAGCAGCGAGGCATGAAAAACAATCCAATTCCCCCAGTGTAACAAAGTCTTCAGTCAGGTAGGAACATGGCATTTTTTTTTGTCAGTTCCTTGAAGCATGATCTAAATTAACTTTAATTTCACTCGTCACAGGGAAGTAAAAACTGCATGTATAAAATTACCAGACAAAAACTAATTTAAATCAGTTTTAAAAAGCAGGTTTTTGCCCTCTAGAAGATATGCCTCTTCCATCTTTATTGTTTCCATGCCCCATGAACTTCTCTCTCTGTTATATATGTCTGGCTTTAATGCTTTTCAAACCCCCAAACACTATGAACCAGATATTTTATCTTTACAAGGCCTGAGTTATTAGTCGTTTTATTTAGCTGTTTTATTCTTTAGAACTTCTCACATACCTGTAGCTCCCATTTCCCAGAGGAAGATTATGTGTTTTAAACTTCCTCTGGATCGTTCACACGTTAATGTCACGTTGCAGTCATGCGAGAGTCATTACAGTTGCAAGAATAAAGGTGTGAATTGGCATCAAACCTCCTGAGACAGGATGTCAAGACAGCCTTGTAGTCCCAGCACCACTTTAAAGTGAAGAGAAAAAAAACAAGCAAGCTTTTGACTTTTTGATGTTTCACATTCACTAGCTGTTTAATTTGCAGTGTTCCCTAAATACACTTTAACAGTGCATTATTTATTTTTCGCTTAGTGATAGCTGAGCAGTGTGATCTGTTAACGTTTTTGGAAACAAGTTTGAAAGGCTCTTTCCACACATGAGGTCCAAACAGTTTGAACAGAATTAGGCTGGGATGTTTCCCACAGGTGTCCTCACTCACACGTGCCACACAGCAGGAAACGGTCCAGTTCAAACTATTCAAAATACTCCCCGTCTCTTGAGCTTATTTGAGTCTGCTTGGGTCCCAGTGGCGTAAATCTCATCATCGGCTACTGGCTGTTATCTTTATATGTTGCGTACCCTGAAAGCAGTTACATTGCTTTTCTGAGCTTCTGAGACAATGATGTGGGCAACAAATCATTGTCATTTATTTTATAAAGAACTCAGAAGCTTAAACACGGATTTAAATCAGAGGAAAGACATGCTTTTTCCAACTTCCACCCAATATTCAGAAGGTGTGAACATCCTGGTCCAGCATCACGGACGATTTTGGTGACTTTGGTGTAACTTACAGAGCTACAATATTTTCTCCTTCCACATTATGCAGATCCTACTCATGAAAAATACACACACACACATCTGTACTCTCAGAGTATTATGTAGCACTGAGATTTGGGGAATCACAGCAGGGTGTGCGTCAAAGAGCAGGAGTCACGGCGAGGGCAGGAGTAGGACATCACCGAGTCGCACTAACAGGTCACCGTGGAGACAGATAAAAACTGGCAGCACATCAGAGAATTAAGATCTCAGACTGTGAACAGAGACATGCACATATTTGCTCAGAGGGGGAAAAAACTACAAGTGGAGCAGTAACCGTATTTAAAACCTCACTAAAAGAAAGTGGAAGTTTTGTTGTGTTTGAAATGAAGCTTTTGCAATAAAACACTAAATCTAATTTTCCACATTAAAGTCTGCTTGTCCTTCTTTGGAAACCTGCTGCTAATCTCGGCTAAAGGCTACATTAGCTGCTACTAGCATAACACACCCGAATCTGCAGTTGCATTGAGAATAAGGAATAATAAAGGAATAAAAAAGTCCAAGGCTGTTTTAAATCCACTCTATAGTGGGCATGTATAAAAGAGGGACACTGTTATGTTTGTGCATCCATCCATGCAGGATGGACGTTTTAGCTTGTGAGGGCAGCAGTCAAAGCAGAGAAACCCAGATCTTCCTCTCCCCGCACCTCGCCTAGCTCATCTGAAGGGGATACCAAGGCATTCCCAAGCCAGCTGAGAGATATAATCCCTCCAGCATGCTCTGGGTCTTCCCCGGGGCAACTCCTGCTGGGATATGCTTGTAACATCTCTCCTAAGAGTACACCCGGGATGCATCTGTTCAAGGACCCAACACATGCGATGGTTGTGCTTACTGGTTTTCACTTTACTTATCAGTTGCACAGACAAAGACACAGTCAGTCCAGACCTCTGTCTCTCCCTTCTCCGCTCGTCTGTTCCTTCACTATGAAAAGAAACGGAGACCGCCATCAGTCCAGTCGCCACCACCTGTGGCCTCACCTGCCTCATAGAGATGGGCAGACTGATCTAAACATCTATATCGATACCAACACTGGTAGTGGTATTTGATCGATGCTAGCGCTAGCACTGATAGGATGCTTTGTTTCTACCCTCTTAGTATGAAGCGTACTGAACTGCATTAAACATTTTTTTCTTTGGAAAATTAAAAAACATACATCAGTTATAATCTGTGAAAAATGTGCAAACCTTTTTGTGCTGACTGTCATGTGAATTGTATTTATAGCCTGTAGCACATTTAAGCAACAGTGGCTGAGCCAAAGTGCTTTAGAGGCTGGCACAAAAAGAAATTGCTAACTGATGATGATTAATTTATAAATCATGTAACACAAGCTGCCTTTACAGGTTAAAAGTATTTGTATTGGTATCAGCACCACTGGCTGATTTTCATTTGAGTCAGAAAGGTAGAATGTTAAGTTATCAACCAACATCAAATTTAATTAGCATTGGCTGCAGGTATAAATTGTGTGTTGACTGGTAGTTTAAAAATCACCAGAATGTGAAACTGAAGCAGAGACTTCTTGGGTCATTTGTTAGTACAGTAAGCCACACAACATGTTTTTGGCTGATAATACATCTAAAATATCTCAAACAAAGTGGATAGGTCTGGTTCAGTCACAGACTGTTCGCCTTAATTGAGTTTAAAATGATCAGTTATGTAAAAAGCCCTCCGGGACTAAACAACAACAAACCCTGTTCAGTTGTTATAAGCATGTAAATCAGCTACAGAGACTGAAACCATGTTTGTAGCAGGCTGTAAACATGTTTATTCCTGCTGTAACATGGGAGTCTGTGGGGATTAACTCATATTTGGAGTTAGTCTTGAGTGGCCACCAGAGGAACTGTAGTTTATAGTCCTGGCTTTATTTTTTTACCACTTGTATTATGTAAGTATCAGTTCCTTCCACGGGACAGTTTGCATCAAACATTGAGACAACAAACCAAAGGACTAATAATGACAATTATGCAGCAATCTTTACTATTAAAGGATCATTTTCTTTAAGCATGTCCGTAAATCTGGTTCATACCAAATGGTTTATCTGTTCTTCAGTTGTAAATATTCTGGGAAGAATTACACAAAAGAGCTCAAATTTATCTGCAGCTGCTGTTAGTTAGACCTGGAAAACACTCACGATTATTAATGTAAAAAAACATTTATTGTCACAATTATTGTTTCTACAAATCTCAAAACGTGAACAATGCAAAGGTAGCACGATTTTCAACGGCACTGTAGAAACACACAAGGTTCAACTTAATCACACGTTTCTTGTTTTCTATGATTGGTTAGCTTTAACCATGATAAACAAGCTGGGCTTCAGTTTAGTGCGGCTTCTCCTGAGACGACAAATTTACACTTTATTTAATGCCGTACTTTTATTTAAAGTTCTGTAAAAGACTCCAATAGAAGACGTTTGTATAAAAGCAGGTTTCATTGTGAGTTTGTTCACAATAAAAGAAACATATCTGGACAACCGGATAGCACAATAAATAAACAAGGAATGTTCAGTTTCATTCCTCAGAAATCATTTAAATGACCTCTCCAGTGCTGGTTTGTGTTTATCAGTCTAACTATCAGGAAAGGGGACGAGAGAGGAAGCAGCTCCTGCGTCACGGGGTCCAGTTTTCTGTGGACGCGGGCTCATAGCTGCCACTCAGAGGACGGATAGAAGCGTCTTTACTGATTCATTATGTTCAGTAGATTTGTGCAGGGAAGCCTTAAAGCCACTTAAGGCTGAACATTTTAATGGGTTTTAAATACTGCGTAAAGTCGACATTCACTCTGTTCATGTGGCAAAACATGAGAGAAACATTAACATACAGAGAACTTAAGTAAACATTGAATAATGAATTTTCCCCCACTGTCTTTTTTCTTTCCCCTTTTATTACTTCTGACATAATTATCTCAGTCTGCAGGCAGCGGTGTGTACAACACAAAAACATGTCCATATTTATCATCATAAAAAGTGCTTTTTGTTTCTGTTTTTTCAATCATATCTTAAAAAAACATCTTTATATTTCATAAAAATACAAAAAAGCATAAACAGTACGATACATATAAATGTGTTATAAATGAATATAAAAGTATTTCAGCTTTCAGTTTCCTCTGCGTGCTGAAGAAAGCAGATTCTCCCAGAAAAAATGCTCAGATTACTACTTTAAAATCCTCATATACTGCAAAATTGTATTAAAAGAAATTCTTGCTAAAGTCCAGCTGGGATGTCTGTGGCTGATATTTTCTCCTTAGATGTCGATGAGGTGTAGCTGTTAATGGTTTGACTGGGGGACTGTTAGTTAGCGGGGACCAGCAGGATGAAACCGTCTTTACTCTTCTTGAAATCGGCGATGGTTTGACCGGCTTTGGTCTCCACCGAGATGTTCTTGAGCTTGCCTCGCATGTGAATCTCCAGACCTGAACGGCAAACCTTCACAGGAAACTGGACTTTTTTCACCCTGGAAGACAACAACGCAAACATTTGGGTTTCAATAACTTTGCCAGAACTGATACGTGATTAGCTGATGGTTATCATGGTTACAGGGACCAGGATCACTCATTAAACTGCTGGAATATTGATCTGGTCAGTTAAATAGCAGAAGATGTTCAGACACAATTGCTCAGTGGGAAAATTACAAGGTGGTTTAAAACATGTCCAGATCCATCCATGTCCATATACGGGCTGTAGAAATCACTTTTATTGCCACTTATATATTATCTTGGATATTAGACGAAAATATGAAGCTGCTTTTGATTCACTTGGAGACAGACTTTTTGTTAAGCCTTTTTTGACTGAATTCCCAGATGCACAGATATAAAACTAACTTTGATCTTTATTTCATTTTTACCCAGACATTAAAATACAGGTCTACACAAGCTAAGATTCAAGAGTCCCAAACCTGCCCACTGGTGTGTGGGTTTTAGGAACATTGCATTAATTGCTGCTAATCCAAAATCTTGGGATACCAAAATTGCAGTCTGCTCCTCTTAGAAGTGTGTTTTGAATGTCTACCGCAACAAGACTACAACATTTCCAGAGCAAGTCACAAAGTAAAAAAAAGAAAAAAACCCAAAGCTGAAGCATCACCACAAAATATTTGTTATTGATCACCTAACACCTGGCTGTTTGCTGAGTTCTCCTGATCAAAGCAGTATCCAGCCCCTCTGCTGACAGCTGGGGCATGAAAGTGTGCCCGGGCTCGCTCGGCTGCTGCACAGTCAGCTGAAGATGATCCACTGTGAAGTCGCTGCTTCCTCCTCGACCCCCGGGGATCCCGCAGCCTCAGCGTGGCTGCCTTGACCCCGCTGCTCCACCAAACACAAGCTGGCCCAGCACATGGCTGGATCTGTGCAGCATGCTTATAAAGACTCTAACACTGAATCCACCTACGTCATAGTCAGAGGCCCAGGGGAGTTTAAGGCTCAGACTCCTGCTTGTAAGAATGTTTCTCTTGCGAATGTATTCTCTCCTTCTCCAATCAGCAAACACTCTCAGTTTCAATTCAAGTTAATGGCTTTAAAAAAGAGATGAAAGGCAATATTTACATAATGACTATTTGTGGATGCCTCTGAATATTGGTAATGTGACTGATGATAAAGGCTGGCTTGTAAAGATAAGCCAACTTGGCAAGCTTGAGGTTAGTTTGGCAAGACAGACGAATGTGTTGTTTCAAAGTGTTTGTGTCATCTTCTCCCCAGACTGCATGGTCGTCTTCAAAAATATGGCTGGAAATCATAAAGGATAAAGTCCCATTTTTGGGAAGATTGCATAATTATTGTTATGCAACAGTGCTGGCAATCGTTGGTGCAAATCTGAGGAGAAACACCTGAAATCTTAGAGTTTAAATATGCAGTTTATTATAGTGTTATATAAATATATAATGCTATGTACATTAGTGGAATAGAGATAGGAATAGGGTGAACTGGATTATAAGTGTGCGGTAATGCTTTTGTTTTGGAAGTGCTAGGTTTTTGTGTGTGCATTGTGTTTTAACCCTTCACCAAACTCTGGGGACCTCCCATAAAGTCGGTTAAAAGTACAATAAAAAAATTCTCCTGCATATTAAATATAATTTGAGGCTTTGCCCCCTGGCACTAGATTGCATATATTGCAATGTCCTGATCCAACATTGTTTGGACAAATATTTTTGCCTCCAATTAGGCTCAGGTTCATGAATACTCAAGTTTGTCTTTGACAAGCAAGCAAAATGTTTTTTTTCTGGAAGTGGTATTTGCTGGAACTTTCAGTTTTACCTCATTTGTTTGAATTGTTTCAAAGCAAAGATAAGTCTGTATTGAACATTTAAAGATGATGATTAGCATTAAATACATTTAACTTTCATTTTCATGAAACTGGTTGTCAAGTTTTTACTATAGCTAACCAACATGATTAGACTAGCTTATTTGCTAGTTTAGCAAATGAATTGATTTGCTGAACTAGCAAAAAAGCTAGTTCAGCTAGCAAATAAGCTAGTTCAGCTAGCAAATAAGCTAGTTCAGCAAATTAATTTTCTAATTCATTTGGTATAAACTAATCATGAAGTTTTTGTTTAGCCTAGCTGATGGTATTCAGGTTTCTCATGTGATGTCAGAGGCGCATTGCGTGCATGTGTGTACTCCCTGATGGGTTGGTGAGTGGTTGCTGGTTGTCACTAGGCCAAATAATAAGAGTGCTTCACCAAAAACCTCCTTTTCCCTGTACTTTAATGTCTAGCAGATTGTCAAGGTTCTTCATGGTTTGCATGGAAGACAGCGGGTTGTCTGCAAACACATTTGCTAACTTCTAGTTGAACTAGAAAAAAAATTGCAATGGACAACATATGTCTTAGTGCTGTAGCCAAAATGTTAAAAAAGTGAAACTTTTGCTTTGAAGGTAAAAGGGCTTAATTTCCTGTATTAGCCGCTTATATTATAACATTTATAAGAGAAAATGAAGCACGGTTACTCTTTTATAACTAAACAAAACTCATTAAACACATTGAGCTATAAGAGGTGTGATAGCTTAATGTAATAAACCATAACAGACAATTACAGAGAAATGCAGCCGCATTCTGAATAAAACAAAAAGATTATCCGGTGGAAAACCTCATATTTGGATCAGGTAATCAAATTGCTTAAAAATATGCTTCAAGTCAAGCAGTGGGGACATATTTCTTGAATTTTCTGACGGAAACTGAGATCTCTATTTTTAAAGTTGCAGATGCATTATTTGCTGTGCTCTTTCTAAAAGAGTTTGACCTCAGTCACTGCAATTTTCCAGAGCTGTGATGCTATTCATCATGAATCACCCCAACAGGTGTGGCCCTGCTGTTTTTTTCTCAGCCAAGCCAACCCTGCCTGGCTGAACCCCCAAACCAGCTGTCCAGCCCTGCTGGACTATGATAAACCTGACACAAAAACCCACTGACCTCCAGAGAGCTTTTTTAATTTGTGCACAATGCTGACCTCATCGTAGCACTACCAGAAGTGAAACCCAACTCCGGCAGCGCACATTGAGAAAAGCCTCTGGCTGCGCCTGAGGACAGTGGATGACAGGCTGCAGAGGCCTTTGAATTTTTCTGCTGCAGCAAGAGAATTTTGTTTTAAGGCTGAGATTGTCCACAATAACCAGACTGTCCTCCACCAATAGAAATCGGCCCAGATGTTGCTTGTGCAAACATTTAATGTTCACAAGCACTAGATGGGGAACCACCTTTAACTAGGAGGTCATTGGAGGACCTCACTTTGCAAATTCATTAAAAAAAAGAACAGATTAGCCATCTTTAAGTCTACATAACATGTTTTAGATAACGTACATAGCAGGGAAGACATTCTCTCAAGGTGCACAAGAGGATTAAAGAAGTAACTGCGGACTGGGACAGATAGAAGTCACTGACCGAGTGCACGATTTCTCAACACATTTCCATTTTTTTCCAACTTAAATGATGCTTTAAAGCTGCACAAAGCATGTTGTTACATTACAGCCAAACCTCCCAGGAAGCAGTTTGGGGTGGATGGATCGGTGTACAACCAAACCGTCAATGTCTGACACTGTGGTGTCCAGCCTGTGGCCTTTAACCAACAATTACCACGACCATGACCCTGCCCTAACCAAACTGTTTCATTTACCTACACCCACCCTTTAGACAACACCCTTATGAATGATTAGTTTGTTTTGATGTATTGTTTTTTGCAGTTATGGACTGCTGGATAGTTTTTTTAATATATTAAAGCTTCTCACAATAATTTTGTAGTTTTGAGTAATTCAGACTACAACTATTTAACAGTTGTTTTTTTAAAACAGACAAACTGCTCAGACAAACAATCCAGATTCTGGCCAAATTCTTGCGCAAACCTGTTGCCCAGTAGCCAGAAATGCATCCTCATTCGCTCAGAAGTTTCTGGCATGTTTGAAAATATCACCACAAAATCACAGATGCTCTCCTATCAGCCCTGATTTATGAGAGCAGCAGTGAGCGAGAGTGAGAGTGAGAGCGGAGCTGTATTAAATGTAGCGGAAAATAAACATCATGGTGGCTTTAATTTGATTTGATTCGTTTTCTTGTGTAAGGTCGCATGAATATTGATTTCAGATGTTTCCAATCTTGTCTCACATCTATTAATGAGCAACAAAATGCCAACCC